AGAGAGAAGGCTCCCAAAAGGAGGGAGCCAGCTCCATCAATGATGAAGCCGGCTCCCAGGAGTGTGGAGCCGGCTCCCAAGGGTAGGGAGCCGGCTCCCAAGTGAATCGAGCAGGCTCTCAACTTGTGAGAGCCTGCTCTCGCCCAGAATTGCGTATTAACTATTTTTAAGTTGTGTTTGGGTTGTACAAGGTATTTTTAAGCCGTTTAAATTGCTTTAAATGATGTAAGTAATTGCTATGGACCTGTAAAATCATGGGGAAGCATTAATTCATAATTGGACTAAAGAATGGAGCAAGAGAAATTTGAGGAAAAAACCTGCATGTTGCATACTGTTTGGTGAATTAAGTTACTTACTGGAAATTAGAAATTCTTTTATATATGGTTTGATACTGTTTAATCATATTCCAATAGTATTATAAGTACAGGGGATGATCTGCAATTAACTGTGCTTGATTTGGATTAAATTGATATTTATTTTGCCATAAACTGTATCAATTTATGGACGGTTTGGAGGATTTAAATGCTTAGATTCATTTTAGCAATTTAAGGGATTGGAATATGATTTTTAGGTCTTATAATGAATGCCTAATATCGTCATATATGTATTAAACTGTATTTATGCATATCCTGGATGATGGTTAATGAATACCAATTATTGTTTTAACAATTATGTTATTTGGAGGATTGTATGCACCGGTATGGGACGGTGGCATATTAGGGATGGATTAGTTCAAATACTAAGTTCTACCTATTCTGGATTAAGGTATAAATTAACCATAAATGTTAAGTCCTACTCATATTGGTGTCAGGTCAATAATTAATTGAATGACATACTTTGGTTTCTGGATGAATTTGTTATACATATGCCAGACCAGTATATCAGAGGGATGACATTTTGTATTAGGCTTATACGGACTTTATATATTTATGTTATGGTGTCATGGTATGAGTTTGAGTCTTAGGACCATGGTTATGGTACGTATATCGCCTAGGATGGATAACTGGACATAGTTGTTGTTCTCTGGTAGGTCTAGGTACGCATGACCACGTTATGTGCGATTTGCATGGTATCTCTACTCAGGTTGAGACAGACCTATTGGGATAGTGAGCGTCCTATAGTGTGTATTTATACATATATGGACTATTCTAGTTATTGTTGAGCTATCTAGGATGTATCTGCGTATCAGGTTTCTGTATGGATCGTAGTAGGATAGGACTTGCATGTGGGCCTAATCCACTCTTTTATTTTTCAGGTGTTCGTCAGTTCCAGGGTTAGAGCTTGATCGTGCAGAGCAGATATAGTGACTCACTCCATCGACTACGTAGGACTGCTTTCTATGTTTAGCTTTGGATTTTTATTACAGTTATTTCCTTTTTAGTTTGGGATTTTTGTTAGGGGTCCACTAAAGGGATTCTCGAGTTGTTTAAAGTGATGGAGGTTTTGGATTATTAGATTTTAAATACATTATTTTAAGGATTTTAATTTAGAATTCTTCTAGCTTATTATGTTATTCTTATTTCATTTTTGTATTCCGTGCTTATTTATATACTAATTGTTTGGTATCACTCGGATCTGTGTTTGGACTTGATCACTCGTGGCTCTAGAATCGAAAGGTATCACATATTTTGGAGGATTATTAGTATCAGATAAGTTTATTAATTAATTGATTTTATTCATTGATGATTTATTTATTTATTTAATATTTTAGTTTTCCTTTCATCTTTTATTTATTCTTTATTTATCTATTTATATTCCGTGTTCGTTTATTACCCTAATTGTTTTGATATCCCTTGGTTTTGGACATGGACTTGATCAACCCATGGCTTTAAAATTAGGGGGTATCACATTTGTTCTCCGAACTTCTGATATCAATATATTTGGATCAAAATGGGTGTATAATATAAAGTATTGAAAGGATGGCTCTATTGATCGTTTCAAGGCTCGGCTAGTCGCATGAGGTTTTACTCAAGTATCCAGAGTGAACTATGATGAAACTTTAAGCCAACTACTATTCGACTTGTTATGGCTCTATCTCTTTCTTTTAACTAGAGTATGCGTTGACTTGATGTCAAGAATGCTTTCTTGCATGATTATTTTAAAGAAATGGTATACATGGAGCAACCACCGGGGTTTAAAAATCCAAATTTGTCTGATCATATTTGTTTACTCAAAAAGTCCTTATACGATTTGAAATAAGCACCCCGTGCTTGGTTTGACCGTCTCTCATAATTTTTGTTTCACCTTGGGTTCTATTGCAGTAAGGCCGATTCTTCATCGTGACAACAATATCACTACTATCCCACTCATCTATGTAGATGACATTATTGTTGTTGGTAACAATGACTCCTTTATTGCAAATTTACTTGCTCAACTTGGTCATGAATTTGCATTTTAGGATCTCAGTTCATTCCATTTTTTTCCTCATATGGAAATTCGACCTTTCTCTGGTGGTATTTTTCTATCTTAGAAGAAGTACATACATGATATTCTTACTTGAACAAAAAATGCTTGAAAGCTCTCCTATAGCTACACCGATGATCATTAAAGAAAAGTATGTTTTGATGTTAATCCAATTGATACCACTACTTATCGTAGCATCGTTGGTGCTTTGCAATACTTAACTTTCACAAGACTTGAAATCATCCATGTAGTCAATTGGGTATGTCAGCATTTTAATAATCCAACTTTAGTTCACATGAAGGCAGTTAAGCGAATCCTACGGTATCTTAAGGGAACTTAACATTTTGGGCTATGTTATCTTTCTCAAAGTCCTTCATCTTTGTATGGTTTTAGCGACGCCGATTGGGTTGGATGTCGAACTACAAGGAGAAGTACTATCAGTTTTTGTGTCTTCTCTGGCGCAAACTGTGTTTCATGGTGTTAGAAGAAGCAACTGACGGTCGCTCCTTCTAGTTCAGAGGTAGAATATCAGTCTATGATCTCCACTACCGCCAAAATCACTTGGTTAAGGTTTTTGCTCAAAGACATTGGTATAGCACTTTGTCAACCTCCTCAGTTATTTTGCGACAATATTAGTGCACTTCAAATGTCCGTAAAACCAATCGTCCATGCTCGATTTAAACATATCGAGCTTGACTGTCATTTTGTTCGTGAGAAGGTTGCTATGGGTACTCTAATTACATAATACATTTCTTTATCCTTTCAACCGGCGAATATTTTCACAAAATCGTTGCCTAAACAAGTGTTCACTTTATTTCGCGACAAGCTGGGAGTCCACATTCATTCCCTCTTCAACTTGAGGGGGCGTGTTAAGGGAAACTATCCCAATAATTGTGGTGATGTTAATACAGAGTTTGTTAAGGAAACAAACTCCTCAAATTGTGGTAGTATTAAGGAAGATCGTGAAGGGTAAATGACAGCTATTACATGTTAAACATGTGCCTTTAATTAGCCTGCACAAAAGGTGTATATATTCTGTACGATTGGTTAATGAAATATCATCGCATCCTTTACCAAATTATTCAATGTCTCCGGTATTTGCATGTTCTATAGTGGTTTTGGTTCAATATATTTTGGTACCATGGCATTTTTTTTTTTTTTGTTTTTTTTTTTTCTGAGTTGGTATTCATACACACGTTTGCATTGAGACTTGAACCATTAACTTTTCTTTGAAAAGTAAGAACTTGATACTGTTAAACCACTGGCCTGTTGATCTATTTAAAGTGAAGCATGAAATGTGATTAAATTTATATTTTCTACATCCTTATATTACTATTAGTAATGCTGACAGAATTTAGGTAATTATTATATTGGCAATATATGAGTTTATACAAATTTCATAGTGGTGAAATTATCAACCAAAAATAGAACGAAAAATTATCAACCAAAAATAGAACGAAAAAATCTAATCTTAATGTGGTTGTAATGATACAGAAATCTAGTTAAATGTCAAGGTGCATTATGATATAATAGTACTCAATCCTATCCAAATTTAAAAAAAATCTCATTTTTTTAAGGTCGATGAATAATTAAATAAATATATTTACAAACTTTTAATACGAGTCAAAGTATAGTATGAAAATATTTCCAAGAAAAGTCTTGTCAAATAAATTCTTAATAATTAGCTGTCACCAACAACCAATTAAACTCAAAATAGAAATGTAGAGAAAAAAAAAAACACGACATACTTTTACTTTTCCTTTAATTTAATTTTTTAAGTTATTATTATTATTATTTATTTATTTTTTATACAAAAATATAGAAAGCATACTCATATCTTAATAGATCATGGTCATAGTGCCCATGATCCTAAAATATTGTAATATCGGGTCAAGGAGTCAATTCATATAAGCCTCATAGTTTTAACACTTGAATTCGTGCCAAATCCAAGTCTCGAGTAACACATAAAATCTCAACTCTATCACGGGTTGTTCGAGTTGTTACGTATTTTAACTCTTTACTAAAAAGTTACAAAAACAGATTTTTAAAAAAAATATATATTAAATACTTAAATTATATATACTTAACTTGAAATAAAACTATTCAAACTTGTAAAATTCACCAAGGACCCATTGATATCTCCTCTATCTGTCAAAGTGGATGGTAATCTCCAAAGGAACAAATAGGTGTGTGTTTTTTGCCAAAAAAAAAAAAAAAAAAATTCTAAAATTTAGTAATGTTCTTCATATTAAAATTTAAAAAGAATTCAAAATTTATTATCTTTATTATTTTTTTCATAAATTTAACCAAATATTACTTACTATAATTTTACATCAAAAACTTTCAAACCAGCCGTCTCACAAGTTAGATTAACAACTATCCATAATAAAATAATAAAGCACATGATGCTAACCATATTTTATAGGAATAAATATAGTGATAAATAAAAATTTAAAAATTAAAAACTTTTCTTATATTTAAAGTTATTCTTTTTTATTTTTTTTATTAATATTCAAAAATAAATTCTAATTCTAAAATTTAAGTTGAATTTCAATCTCGTGTTCTCAAAGGTCTAAAATTTTTGGGCTCGGGTTCGACCCACCCAAAGTACTGAAACTGGTAACTACTGCCCTTTCTTCTTATTCAGACTCTTTACTCGCGATACGGACTTCGTCATCGGTTCAACAGATTACGACTTCAAGGGTTCATCCAAAAACCCTAAGCAGGCACTAAACTATACTCTAATCCGTAAGTGGTTTGAATTCTCTGATTTCATGATTTTATTCTTCAATTCAAAGGAGCCTGTAAACGTCTAATTCGTATTCTCTTAAAGCCCTAGCTTTTGTTTTTGAGGGTTTTACGATAATGATAATTCTAATTTTTTTTTTTTTTGCTTGCAGGTCGACAGTGTTTTACTTCCGTTGATTTGATTCGAGATGAGGTAGGTATCTCTGGGTTTTATACTTTCTTCATGTCTGTCTTGCTATATTTGTTTAGTACAACCATAAAACTGATTGAATTAAACCCTAACATATTCTAGCCTAGAAACCCTAACATTTTTTTTCTTATCTTAGGGATGTTTTTATCGGTTATGCATTTTTTTAGTTGGTTAATGAAGAGGAATACATTTTTTAGATCACTATAGATGTTATTTATGGCATTCATAGTGTACATTGGGATTTGATATGTCAATTCGTTTTCATGATTTAACTTATGGTTACACGTTTACTTACACCCACAATTGGGTTTGTAATTTTTTTAGAAAGGGTTTTGTGGGTTGATTATTAGGAATCAGAAAATGAAAAAATTGTTTTCTTATTTTTCTTAATTTTGGAGAACCATATTTTATCCGTTAGTTCAGAGTTGCACAAAAATAGCAGAAAGTGAAGAACTCAGTGCCTATGCACATATGGTTAACTCTTTGGTGTTATTCTTAACTACTCTAGCTTTTCTCATTGTGAATGTTCCAAGTGCTACCTCCTCCCTCCCTCTCACCACTCCCTCACATGTAAGGATACCTATTTTCTCACCTTCAATTTTGTTGTTGTTGTTGTTGTTGTGGATTGACTGAAAGTATGGCCTTAAATAGAGCGGAATAGAAACATGGGATTCATGTAGCATATTTCAAGTAATTTGGGAAAGACTTATTGTTGTATCCATTTTTTTTTTTTTTTTTTTTTGGTTCTTTAATGGAAATACCTGTAGTTTTTAACCTCCCCACCCACAACACACACACACACACACACATCTTTTGGTTGTGAAAAAATGGCTGTTCTCGGTCATCTACTCCGCTTCATGATCTTGTTACATAATATGATGTAAGCACATGAAAGTACTTAAAAACTCAATTTTGTGCATGGTTCAGTAAGTTGGAAAAAATGATCATTACAAGAATAGAGGTACTATGAGTTAAAAAAATGTTTTATTTCTTTGGCTCTTATTTTATTTTTAATAATAGTCTTCATCTTATTAGTCAAGTTTAAAAAAAAATTTATTTTATACATGCATGTGAATTGCTTATTATTGTATCATTTATCCAATTTTATAAATTAAAATTTCTTCAATAAGCATGGTTGGATTGTACTAACTCGGTTTCTTTTCTCACATATTGCAGTCGGCCGATGGAGGAGGATGTCACAGTAAGTTATTTTACTGCTTAATAATATTCTTCCACACAACTATTCTATGGCCTCTTTTACATCATTTTTATTTTCTGAATTTGACATCTTCCTATACTTAATGTCTTAATGATGTTTAAAGTATTAGTTTGACTAGTCATTTGTTTAAATTACCAATTTGATTGTGATGTGATGAAGTCATGTTTTGTTATGGGATGATGTTCTCAAATATTTTTTTGATAAGTAAGATTTCATAAAAGGAGCACAAGAGGGGAGCGCTCCCAGAAGAATAAATAAAATGCCAAAGGTGATAGCTAAAGCTTTAAGCTATCCACAAAATCTAAAAGATCCCCCAAAGATGTACAATTATGCCCGTTGACCCAAAAAATAAAGTATGCAGTATACTATATTTGAGAGACCAAATAACTTATCAAAAAATATATATATTTGAGAGACCAAATAGGAGTCTCCTCACCCTCAAAGGGGATGATGTTCTCATTAAGCAGCAATTTAAATAGTTCTGTTAGTATTGTTTAGATTATGATAACTTCTTGTTTATACCAAGTTGCCAACTACTTTATTGCTCCCCAAGATTCTTTCAAGTATACTATTATTTTTTTCTCATATTGTTTATCTCAAGTTAGTGATATCAGAAAGGAACATTGGACATATCTATTAATCCTAGCAACTGTATTATTAGCTTTAAATCCTTATAATTATGATTTGAGTTGTTTTCTATATCTCAATGGCCCGGTGACAAGTTGTTAAAAGCACAATTATTATTTTGTATGTTACTAAGGGTAAAAAAAGAAAATGCAAAATTAACACTCCACGTTTCTACTTTCCACTCCATTTGAAATTTCTTATTAAACAAAATGACTCAATCACTCTTTTCAATAATAATTATGAAAAAATGATACTTTTCCCAGTTCCACTTTTGTATAAGGGACGCGTTCCCCTTTTGTACACCTTTTAATCTTTTATTACTTATTAAAAAAAAAAAAAACTGGAGTGAGGAGTGTTTCTTAGGATAATTGTACGGTATGCATTGACGATTATATTGTTTTGTTTTTTTAAAAGAAACAAGTGGAGTGTGTGAATACAAAGTGGAGTGCAATCATCATGTCATTTTATTTTGCTGATTTTTTTGTCTCTTTGAGGGCATAGAGGCCCTATTTGGCCTTGTGTAGTTTTTGAGGGATGAGTTCCCCTTTTGAACGCTTTTTATACAATCTTTACTTGTAAAAAAAAACAAAAGGAAAAAGTAAATAAAGGAAGACTACACTGCAATTGTCCTAGGAGGTGCACATGTCATTGGTAAAACTATTGATATGATAAAGAAGCATCATCGCCTATAAACTAATCACTAAAAGACATAATAGAAAATTGCTGTATATTTGTGGAAAAATAATAGTAGGATGTTTAAATGCATTGTGATGTGAATCATTTGAGGACATAAGCATGGTACTATTTCAGTTAATTCAAAGTATGTGTTTTGTATCTCTTGCTTAGCTTGGATCTCTGTTATTTGCTGGCTTTTCTGAGTACCAAATGTCGAAGGTGGATGGTCTTGCAATTTTTATTTATATTTATTTATTTTGATAAGTAATATTTCATAAAAAACACTCAAAAAGGAAGCGCTCCCAAAGGAATACAAAAGATGCCTAAAGCGCCGCTATAATTTCAAGGAATTCACAAAATCCAAAAGATGCCCCAAAGATGTACAATTTGTCCCATTAACCCATAAGAATACAGTAGAAAGAATATGTATTTAAGAGACCAAATAGGGGACTCCTCTCCTTCGAAAGATCTCCTATTTCTCTCACTTCACAGGCCCCACCATAAACATAGGGGAGTGGACCTCCACACATCTCTAGCTCGGCGCTCCACTATACATCCTCTCCAAGCCCCTAACAAGTCCACCGTGGACGCATAAAACACCCAAACCATGAAACACATGACCAAGAACATAGACGACACATTCCTCGTCACTGGCCAATGAAGGAGGAGGTGGTTCACTGAGTTCTCCGCCTGTTTGCACATGCAACACCAGTTAACAACTATCTGCCTTCTTCTTCTAAAGTTATCAAGAGTAAGAACTCTTTCAAGGGCTGCTGCCCAAGTGAAAAAGGCCACCTTCAAGGGGGCTTTCATCCTCCAAATGGCCTTCTTAGGGAAAGAAATGCCTGGCGTGTCTGGCAGTCTCTTGTAGAAGAACTTAACTTCAAAAACACATTTAGGTGTGCCCATCCACACCATCTCATCCATACCCTCACCCTCCACTGCATGCCTGTTGAGAAGCGCAAACAGCTCAAACACCTCTGGCAGTTCCCAATCATAAACTTCTCTTCTGAACAGAACATCCCAAGTGATCTGCCCATTATCAAGCTGATAACAATCAGCCACCAGAGCATGCCTGTTCGACGAGATCCTGAAAAGCCGAGGGAAAGGGTCAGAATTTGACATTGTTTCATTATTCTTCTCAAAATATCGTTATAATTTCAATTATTTCACCTTCTGACCTGGATGTGAAATAGCTGCAATTGTCCTAGGAGGTATAAAGAAGCATCATCTCCTATAAACTAATCACTAAAAGACATGATAAAAAATTGCTGTATATTTGTGGAAAAATAATAGTAGGATGTTTAAATGCATTGTGATGTAAATCATTTGATGACATAAACATGGTACGATTTCAGTAAATTCAAAGTATGTGTTTTGTATCCCTTGCTTAGCTTGGATCTCTGTTATTTGCTGGCTTTTCTCTACCAAATGTCGAAGGTGGATGGTCTTGCAATTTTTATTTTTTATTTATTTATTTTGATAAGTAAGATTTCATAAAAAGCACTCAAAAGGGGAGCGCTCCCAAAGGAATACAAAAGATGCCTAAAGCGCCGCTATAATTTTAAGGAATTCACAAAATCCAAAAGATGCCCCAAAGATGTACAATTTGTCCCATTAACCCAAAAGAATACAGTAGAAAGAATATGTATTTGAGAGACCAAATAGGGGACTCCTCTCCTTCGAAAGATCTCCTATTTCTCTCACTTCACATGCCCCACCATAAACATAGGGGAGTGGACCTCCACGCATCTCTAGCTTGGCACTCCACTATACATCCTCTCCAAGCCCCTAACAAGTCCACCGTGGATGCGGAAATCACCCAAACCATGAAAAACATGATCAAGAACATAGACAATACATCCCTCGTCACTGGCCAATGAAGGAGGAGGTGGTTCACTGACTTCTCCACCTGTTTGCACATGTAACACCAGTTAACAACTATCTGCCTTCTTCTTCTAAAGTTATCAAGAGTAAGAATGCTTTCAAGGGCTGCTGCCCAAGTGAAAAAGGCCACCTTCAAGGGGGCTTTCGTCCTCCAAATGGCCTTCTTAGGGAAAGAAATGCCTGGCGTGTCTGGCAGTCTCTTGTAGAAGAACTTAACTTCAAAAACCCATTTAGGTGTGCCCATCCACACCATCTCATCCATACCCTCACCCTCCACCGCATGCCTGTAGAGAAGCGCAAACAGCTCAAACACCTCTGGCAGTTCCCAATCATAAACTTCTGTTCTGAACAGAACATCCCAAGTGATCTGCCCATTATCAAGCCGATAACAATCAGCCACCAGAGCGTGCCTGTTCGACGAGATCCTGAAAAGCCGAGGGAAAGGGTCAGAATTTGACATTGTTTCATTATTCTTCTCAAAATATCGTTATAATTTCAATTATTTCACCTTCTGACCTGGATGTGAAATAGCTGCCTTTGGATGGTGAGATTTATTAATAAAAATGATTACTATTGATAGCTGGTTTTGAAGTCATATTTGAGCGCTCATATATACTAATTTCCTAACTCAAATGTACTAAAAGATGCCTAATCCAACAAAGCACCTGATTGCATAAACAGTGGGTATCAAACTCATGAAATAACCTCCAAAACAAGATCCTAACAACCACGAAAATTTCTTACAGATTTCCATTAGAAATGTCCAAAAAGAATGTAAAATCCTAAATAAAGTAACTTCAAACTGAAATTGAGATAATTTGTGAGTCGTAATGCTTGTCAAGGTCTCTTGAAGCTTTAGGTGCAAGGCACACGAGCTTGATTGAAATAAGGATACGTGTAGCAGAGACCATATTAAATATAGTTATATAATGTAAGAAACAACAGAATAAGAGGTGGCCAAAAAAGTGCATATTTGTAATTAAGTGTTGTCGAAATGCGAATGTTGAGATGGATGCATGACAAGATAAGAAAGAAAAAAAGAAGAAGAAAGAAATAATGAGAAGCAATTGATTTAGGATAGTTTAGCCATGCACATCGAAGACCCATAATTGCGTCTAGTGGGGAAAGTGGTGTCGTTCACATTGAGTGTAATGTTAAGAGGGATAGCAAGGCAAAAAGTGGAATGGATTAATAATTAAAATATATAATAGCATGTCGTTTGATTGGAGTTATGCCTGAGATAGAGCAAAATGGTGAAAAAAGCTTTGTTCAGTTGATTGAGAAAAAATTTTAAACTATGCAACACAAGCTAGTCAATATCAAAATGAAGAAAAATTTCAGCATATCAACTCAGTGGGTTAGTTAAGATAATGTACACGTTCTTTTAATTGGCTCAGCTAAATCAATATTCAATTGAAAGAATTCAAAATAATTGTACAAACTTTAAACATTGTATTATTATAAATTTTCACAACTAAGCTCTAGACACGTTTATATGTAAGTAGTCAACCGTAAGCTCATGAATCATACATTATGACATCCATATCATGTCAATTAATGGCCATAAAAAGCAAAGGAAAAAAAAAAAAGATTTCTCTTTATTTTTTTTTTTTTAAATTTTGGGAGTATGGATACTTGTATAAAGCGCGTGCTTGAAGGCTTTATGTGCACCAAACTGAGGGGGGGGCTTGATTCCGACACTTTTTGGTCATCCTAGGGTGCCTTTAACTACTATGCATCAAATATCGAGGCCATAGTGTCCTACTTATGACTGTAAAGTTTGGGCTTCCACATAAGACCAAAGAAGAACAATATTAGTAAACGTTTTGTTGGGGTATCAATGTACAATAAGTCCCATAAAATGTCTGATATGCGCTGACCTTTTTTTTTTTTTTGGTAAGTAAAGATTGTACGATCCCTCAGAAAATACACAAGGCCTAATAGGGCCTCTAAACTCTCAGAGAGTCCAAAAAATCAACTATCTCCTCCATGGATTTAAAATATCTCCCTATAACCCAACAAAAAAGAGTGTTAATAATAGAGAACTTCAACTCCCCCATAGGAGTCTCCTTTCCTTTGAAGGATCTCATATTTCTTTCAAGCCATAAACACCACCAGATGCAAAGAGGGGTAACCCTCCAAAAATCATGGACTTGGGCCCCCGCTATACAACCTCACCAAGCCTCAATCAAATTTATTGTGGATCTGTGCATAACCCATTGAACCCCAAGCAAGCTCAACAGTAAGACCCAACAATCCCTAGCCACTGCCCACGGGGCAATGCAAAAGAAGGTGATCAACCGTTTCCCCGTCTCTCTTACACATGTAGCACCAATTGACCGCTACCTGTCTTCTCCTTCTTAAGTTATCCTAGGTTAAGATATTACCTAACACTGAAGTCCACGCAAAAAAAAGCCACTTTGAGAGGGGCCTGGGATCTCCTAATAGCCTTTTATGGGAAAGACTGCCCCTGGGCTTCCATAATGCACCTGTAGAAAGACCGAACACCAAAACGACCCTAGAAAAAAGGAACCCACACCCAAGAGTCAGAAACATTGCCAGTAAACTCATGTTTGTACATCATTTATTGAGAACATGATATTTGAAATCTGCCGGCACTAGTTGAATTTATTTGCATCAGCATAATATATTAAGCCATTATAGACCGTAAGAGTTTAGACTTATCCCTAGGCATTTACATATTGTTCTGGTAACTTGCTGTGTTACTACCCAAGTAGCAGACTCGAACAAGAGAACAGCAAAAAAAATTGCACAATCTTAAAAGGGTTTCAAGGAATTTGATTTCAAATTCAAAGCTCAGAAGTCAGAACAGAAACAGGATTAAGGAACAACAGGCCCATAACAGAATTAGAAAAATAGAAGTTAAAAACATAAACTTTAAAGTGAAATTATTGAATAGCAATAAAATAAATCATCAGACCCTTAAGGAACAGAACTTTAAACTCTAAATTTCAGATCCAGAACAAATTATACTTAAGAAACAGAACAAATCATCAAGTTTGAGACTAGGTTGAAAAATAAATCATCACAATTACAGAAACAAAACAGAACAGTAAAATTTGTACTTTCAGGCCTCTGAAAAATGATCATTTCAGACCCAAATTTTCAATATATCATATTCCCAAAAAAGAGAGAAAAAACACCTTTTTGAGTTGAGTGGCGTGAGAAGTGAAAATGAGTGGAGAAGTCTGTCGAAGCTGTTGAAGAGGTTGTCAACCGGTTCGAGAAGTCTGTCAAAGTCAGAGAGTGTCGGTTGACTCGATTCAGTTCGCCGAAAGGCTCGTCTTGCCTAATCGAAGCTATCGATGACAAAGAGAAGCTTGAAGCAGTTCGCGATTGACTCAATTCAGTTCGCGACAGAGGCTTGTGCTCGTTTGAGATGAGAGAGCAGAGAAGTGATCATTTTAGGGCTTGTCGCGACAGAGAAGGGAGACGTGAGCAGCAAATTAGGGCTTTGACCGTGTGACTTGTTTTGAGCCTTTTTATTAAGTGTTTTAACTGTTTTGGGCCCTTGGGCCTTTCTTCTTTAAGAAGCCCAACAATAAAAAAAGTGAATAAGGCCGAAAAATAAGCCGAACAAGGCATAACACAGAGTCATCCAGGATTGCTAGAATCGTATGATTCTGCAGTTCCACTAGTGATCCATACCATTCTGTTCTGATTCCAACCATATTAGTGATTTTGTACGAGTAAACACGTTATTGGGCTATAGGATCATAGAACCGTGCAATTCTATGATCCAGGATTGCGATTTTGACAACCTTGGTTAAATTTGAATTGGTTTTTGGTGTAAATTTGGTTGGAAGCTGGTTAGATCTGAAGTAAAGGCTATTATTCAGTGTCGGCCTTGCTAATATGGGATTATGGGGTGTTAGACAGAGCAAACCGGATACAAACATAACCCTTTGGCATTTTTAGAACAAAATGGATGCTTTTGGACTTGTACATGCATTTTTACTTGTGGCAGCCCAAACTGTTATAATTGCACCAAGCAATAGTCCCTAGTCAGTACATCAGCAAGCAGATTTTCAGAATTTCTTGTATGATTATTTAGAGGCAGAGCTTAAGTTGGTTTATGAGAGCAGATTTTTCTTGCCATTGCTTCATCTTCTCTTTATGGGGGTTAGTTTTCTTGAGTATTTATGGGGCTGGAAATGGTTGTGGGCTTTGATAGTTATTTTCCTTATACCTTCATTTTTCTTGTGTTTGGCTTTATTCTGTCAATGTTATGTTGCATTGGGTCCCCCATTATGGGGACTGAGAAGCTGAATTCAGCAATGCATTTTCCCTACAATTGGGGTTGGAATACAATGACTCAGAATGATACCTAAATCATGGTTTTACTATCAGGCTCTGTCTAAGTTTTATAAGCGGAGCTTATTTGCATGGTTTTATTTGATCTACCATCTGTCACGTTTAGTTTAGCTCCAATTTTTTTTAAAACTCCATGATCTTCTAAGCATCATGACAAAGTGTTTTTTTTTTTTTGACCAAAAGATCTTTCAATACTTGAAATGCAAGTCCTCCCTAGCTCTCTTTTGCTAATGTGTCAATTCTTATATATATATATATCTTAAAGTACTGTAGACCTGTATCTCTGTCAACATTTTGCATTTGTTTTTAATTCTGTATACTGTGCTTGTGTGATTCTTTTTCTTTTTTATTTTTTATTTTTTATTTATTTTAATTTTATTTATTTATTTTTTTATGACAGTTAAGTTCATGGTTTGCCCAAACTTTTTGTCACAGGCCAAGAATGAGGAAGAGGAATTCAACACTGGGCCACTCTCTGTTCTGATGATGAGTGTTAAAAATAACACACAGGTAATGGATAATCACTATAACTTTAAATTGTGGTCAATTTTGTTATGTGGGTAAGGTAACAGTTCTGTTAGTATATTACTTGTAATAAAAATACAAGAAAGAAACAGTTTTTCTAGTATGTTTGGCATTTAGTCTGTCTTCTTGTATTGTGTAATGCCACTTGGCCATTTTAAGAAAAGTTTTCATGCATAAAAAAAATTGACACGAGAGTGGGAAATAACCAACTCCAACTGCAAAGGAGGAAAATACGATGGAGTGCTTAATATTACATGCATGTACTCCCTCTAGTTTTTGATAGATGAGATCATGAAACCAGTATTGATTTTTTAAGTTGAATAAAGGATTATGCATATGGCGTGTTGAATAAAAACATTGGTCGCTGTTCATCTTGTTCTGACATCGGAGCTCTCAGATCTCTGTATTTGGCTTGTGAAACCAAGTGGGAATTGTCCTCCCTCTAAAATTTATCTTCTTTTTGATGGGATTTTGTTGTATTTGGCTTTTGTTAACACTTTGATTTCTGTTGTCCAATCAGGTACTTATTAACTGCAGGAATAACAAAAAACTTCTAGGCCGGGTGAGAGCCTTTGATCGGCACTGCAACATGGTGCTGGAAAATGTTAGAGAGATGTGGACTGAGGTTTGCTTCTGCCCCTTCCTCTCTCTCTTTTTTTAATGCTGTAGTTTTCATACCTCAAAATTTCCACATCTAATATTTGTGTTTCTGCTCAGGTGCCAAAGACTGGAAAAGGCAAGAAGAAAGCTCATCCGGTCAACAAAGACAGGTTTATTAGCAAGATGTTTCTCCGAGGAGATTCGGTGATCATTGTCCTCAGAAACCCCAAGTGAGAGGTAATTGGCTCTCTATAGTTTCCATTGATTCAATATTTAAGAATTCAACCTGAGTTGCATTCTTGAAATTACCTCCTTTTTATGTCGTGCAATTGTACTTCAGTAACTAATAGTTGTTCTCACTTATCAAAAAAAAAAACTAATAGTTGTTCTCACTTATCAAAAAAAAAAACTAATAGTTGTTCTCTCTGTGTGGTTTTGGACTCCATTAAAATACATTTTTGTGTACTTGGTCTAAACTATGTATTTGTTTTAATGGAATGCAAGTGAGTTCCTATTTCTGGAGTCCACTTCATTCAATCATCGAGCTCATGCTCCTTTGTGCATTGCACAGGCAAAGCTTATTCATGCTTTAGTTCAAGTGCTAAGTTGGTGAACTGCGGATTTTGTTCCTATAGAATTAATTCTGGCAATTTCTGTAATCAATCAGATGTTGCCTTTGAGAATTGGCATAATAATGGGAGCAGTGCTACTAATTTTGTTAAGGTGCACGAGTCATAACAAGAATTAGTGGCTTTTGCTTTAATAGCAGTGAAATTGGTGCTCCAACATTGTTCGTTTGCTACATTAGCTGATCATAAAATCAGACTGAGACATGGGCCATATGAAGATAAGGAACATATTTTATAACTGTATTTTACACCCCCATTGAAAAAGGATAAAGAAAAGGTTGAAGTGAAAACAATAGCTACTGTTATAAATTTATAGTTTCGGAAGTTTTATGCCATACAATGTTTTTTTCCTTTCGTTTTTTAATTCCAATCACTCTGGCAATTTATATCAAGTCCATATCGAAGATCTACACATTTGAAAATCTACTTCTATTTGTTCAATTCTGATGCAAAGTTTGAAGTCCAAGTATTATGAATAATATTGTTTCCTGAATGAGGATTTTCCCATTGCTGTTTATCTAGCCCTATATTAGCTGCTTCTGTAGTTCTTGTGCATGATTCACTCCACTCGTTTAAAGTCGGTATTATATCGATGGAAGTAGTTGTAATAATAAATTCACTTGTTTGATGCAGATACTGGAACTCTGGAGTTTACCATGTGGTGAGAAAAGCGTCTGGCTGTTGAATTGAGTTACTTTCTTTGTGGTAGAATTCTATGCCTGTCCTTAAAGCACTTGTTCTGTTGAACTTGACGAAAACTTGTTTTTAACTTCAAACCTTGGTCTCTTACTGCGCAATTTTTATAGAACACCATCGTATGATCAATTCGTCTGAGCACAAACAACTTGATTACCTGATTCGATCTATTTTCATGAAGTGAATATTTACTGTTTTTAATTATGTCATATATAATCAATCTATACCAGCCTTTGCAAGGTTTAGTTTTGTACCCATGCGGCCATAAATGAGCCCACCTTTTAAATTAGTGGAGTAATGATTAATGAATATTAATATATTAACGGGATACCGTAACAATGGTCTTAAAAATATTAAATATATATTTTATATAGTACTCTTTCGTCAAATAAAAAGTGTCACTTTTAAGAAATCGTGACTCTCATTAATTGAATTGATATAGTTCTCGAAAAATGACACTATTTTTAGGACGGAGATAGTAGTATATAATATTTAAAAAAGGAAGGGTTTTGAATTATTTTATTATACCTATTCTAAACTCATTTAGGGGACTTTCAAATCTGCCCTATTAGGGGCAGGGTGGAAATTTGCTTGGTCGAGAAATTTTAAGTGCAAAAATACCTTTGAAGCATTCCTCTTGTAGCCAAAAAAAAAAAAAAAATTTACGCTCAACTATATTTTTGAGACCTAATTTTATTTATTTATTTTTTCCTTCTTCCATTGACAAAAAACTCTCATACCCATTAATCCGTCACTTTGATAGGCAGAGGAGATTCTACTGGAGTCTTGTTCGGACTATGGTTAGAACCCAAGATTAAAATTATGTGCAAGGGTGACCATTTTGCACTATTTTAGGCGTTTGTGATCGTTAGGTTTCAACCATTATATTTAATGATTTTAGGCTCATTTTTAATTTTATTTATTTATTTATTTTAGGGTTAAGGGTAAGAAATACCCTCCATATACAAAGAGGTGCAAAAAATTCCTACTATTTTTTTGACCAATTTTTTATTTTATAAGAATCTTAAAGTTCGGTGAAAGCCACGGCCGGTGAACACCATTTTCGGCTGAGCATTATTTCGCCTTTTAAACTCGATGTTCGTCGAAGCGAAGCCGCATTATGAATTGAGAATGTTGTGACATGAGCATTTAGGTTTGGTTACGTTCAGTGCGTGGGACTTCGGGAATGGTTACCTAGGGGAGCGTACTGTCGCTGAAGTTGATGGTCGCCGAACTCGAATGGAACCCACCGGTGCGAGCTTGGAGTTTGCTGACACAAGTGTGTGACCTTGTAGCTGCCGAAGCTTGGAGTTGAGCTCACCAAAGAAGACGCGGTTGCATGTAAGACGCTTGGAGTTCACGAAACCGAACTGGGTTTCGTTGCTTGGATCTCAAGGCTCTCATATGTTTTGCATAGACATTTGCAGTTATCTGGAGAGGAGTGTACAGAACGAACTCGTCAATAACAATGGAGTTCTTGCTTGTCGGCAGTTGGGTCAATGAAATTCTCCGGTCACTTGGTAGCTTCTTGCTCGTTGACAGTTGCTGGGTCCATTGGAGTTTACAGTTATGGGTTTCAGTAGCTGAAGCTTCGAAATGTGTTCGTCGGTGAGATTTGGGAACTGATGCTGCTCTTTGGGCTTGCCAACTTGGGTAGTGGAAGCTCGTCGACAATGGTGGTCACTGTTATGTGTTTTTTGTTGTCTTCAATGAAACTCCGGTTAGGATGGGTCTTCAACTTAATCACTGTTATGAATGCTTCAGCTTGGTTCCCATCTTCAAGAGAGACTAAATGTTGCGAATCAGTATTTTATGCTTCGGCTAGCTGGAAATGGTGTCCTATTATAGCTTTAAAGAATTAGGAGGGCATTTTGGGATTAAAAAAAAAAAAATGGTTAAAATGGCTGACTAAGGGGCAATTTACACCCAAAATAAATAAATAAATAAATAGTAGGGAGAGTTTTTGGACAAAAAGAAAAAAAGAAAAAAATAATGAGTTTTTTTTGCACCTTTGTGTATAATGATTGTGTTTCTTACGCTTCACATATATATATATATTTTTTAAACAAAATATTATCACCACCTTCAAACATTATTAAGTTAAACTCAAAATGTTGACACTCCAAAAGGGCTTACTAGCAACTCCAAAAAATTCATAATGTTGACATTCTAAAGGGGCCAAAAAGGGTGATATATTTGGCCGGAAACACAAAACCCACGTAATGAGAATTCAAAAATATTCATTTTGTTAACATTCCGAAGTGGCCAGCTAGGCAGCTAGTTACTCCAAAGAATCAGAAAGGGTAAATAATTCATAAAATAATAACTTGGTAATGTTCGAGATCTATCTTATTAAAATATTTATCACACAAATAAAAGCCTGAACAAACACAATAACAAAATAAATGGGCTTTAAAGTAGTCTGTCTATTTTAATAGGTGACTAAATTATTTTTGGTATTCTACATACACATTGACATTACCAAGCACATCATTTTATTACACTTTTGATACAAAATCACGTTATTATCTCTAATTCGTTTATCAGAAAGAGTATCCATTGCAATGGGGACGTCCCACCCTAAATGCTGACGAAGCTTTTGTAATGTTTGGCTGCAACTTTTGTTGCTCTCATTGGTGGGTCCTTTTATTGTAATGCATACTGTTAGCTTCTGTTTTATAAATAGCTTTGATCTTGGTTTCTATCTTGCTGAAAGGGGAAATTTTGTCCGAAAAATTACTTCATAAAATCACTTAACGAATGTTAAAAAATTAAAAAAAAGGTAATGAGAAAAAAAAAAAAAAAAACAGAATTTTGAAAAAAATGAATTAGAGTATAATTGAATAAGAAAATTTTGATTTTTTAAAAAATGAAATTAAAAAAATTTAAAGAGTAAATGAGGAAAAAAAAAAAAAAGGAAAAAGTTAAGAGAATTTCGAGAATTTAATAATTGTAGGAGACATAGTATATAAATTTTTATATATATGTAAAAATAATTTAAAAATTCATATATATTATATAAGGTCATGCCGGGGGCACGTGCCCCCTTAGGCGTATGCTGATTCTGCCCATGTGGCAAATAATTATAAGTCAAGAGTTTTGTTTTTTTCGCAAATTACCCTATATTTTATAATAAGAGGGCCTTCGTGAATCATGATAGCATGATTCTATGAATTATCATCACCTTCATACATTATTAAGCTAAACTCATGAAAACTTAAAAAGTTAAAACACATCAGGTAGCTTTTGTGCGACAAACACTTTGTTTTTGTTTTTGGAATGAATTTGACAAACAGTTGATGCATCCTCCTCCACCTCCACTTCCTTTGCCTCAGCGTACTTTGTCTCTGTCCGGCTAGAGTCTTAGGGGGCTGCCTATGGCCCCAACTAATAAAAAGGCTTCTAAAATGATGATTTCTTATATTAGGGGGAGATGTTGTCAAAGGCTGGTAGAGCGGTTCTTCTGAAGTCCATTCTTGCGGCCCTTCCAAATTATGCGATGGCATGCTTTAAACTCCCTATGTCTACATGCAAGTCGTTATCCCAGAAAATGATGAATTTTTGGCGGTGTGGTAGAGAGCGAGGTAATCAGATCAAATGGCACAATTGGGAGAAACTTTGCATGCCAAAAGAGAGTGGAGGTGTACGTTTCAGGGACGTGGAGGCTCTGAACTATGCTCTTCTTGCTAATTTAGCTTGGCGGATGGAGGTGGGTGACAATTCTTTATTGTTTAACATTTTCAAGCAAAAATACTTCCCAGACCACTCTTTCCTTCAGTCTAAATGTAGCAACTCTGCCTCTTAGGTGTGGAAGGGAATCTCGGCTGCTAAATTTGTGGTTGCTCAGGGATGGCAATGGCGTATTGCTAATGGATCAAAAGTTAAGTGCCAAATTGACCTATGGCTACCAGATCCTATCAATCCTCGTATTACCTCAAACCTTCCTACTAATCAATTTTCTCATGTCGTTGATCTCATTGATGGTGGCTCAAAACAGTGGAAGGTCGTTCTGATTAGAAGCATTTTTAACAAAAGAGATAGTGATTTAATTCTTAAAATTCCCCTCCGTGAACGGGGAGGAATTGACAATAAAATCTAGGCCCCGTCTGGTAATGGCAAGTTTAATGTCCGAAGTGCCTATTTTTTGGCTTTAAAATTTTTAAAAAGATCACAAGTATCTTTCACTGATCCTAGTAATAGTGCCACTCATGCATTTAATGATGCGTGGAAAGACATTTGGAAAATCAGAACCAAAGAAAAGATCAAGTTCTTCATATGGCAGTGTTGTTTGGAGCGACTTCCAGTTTTGAACAACCTCCAGTCCAAAGAGATTGTTTTCAATGCGATTTGTCGTGTCTGTGAGATGGAAGAAGAGACAATTTCTCATATGCTTTTCAAATGCCCCGTTGCCCAGGTGGTATGGGAATGTAGTCCTCTCAGGTTGACTTTTCCAGACTCTAGTTCTTGTTTATGGCAACACAGCTGGTTATATTTTCTGAACTTATGACATGATCATCAGGCCTTGGAAAATTGTCTTAGTCTTGTCTCGTTTATCATGTGGTAGCTATGGAAAGGGAGAAATGATTGGCACTTCAATAGCAAGAAATGGTCTCCCCACGACATCATTGATCGAGCTTTATTCAACTTCCATGAGTTCTGGGCAGTTCACCATCAAGATGCTTCCATTCACAGTCCCCAATCTTTCTTGTATCCCCGTCCATCTTCTTGGCAAGCCCCTGTATTGGGTAGATTAAAGCTAAACATTGATGCCGCTTTCAATTCCATCTCCTATCTCACGGGGAGTGGCGCCATTCTCCGGGATGACAAAGGGAGACCGATTCGCTGCGCCTCTTTTTTTTTAAGAACGTGTGATCGCCAGCAGCGGCAGAAGCTCTCACTTTAAGGGAAAGTCATAAACTTTTATCTTCGTGGGGCCACACAAATGTGGATATTGAAGGCGATAATCAGTGCATTATACAGCTCCATTCGGTAGATGGATTTTCCTCTATTATTGTAGAGGATATTGCTTGTATGATTCATTATATGCACTCTTGGAAGCTCATTTGGACTCCTAGAATTTGCAATAGAGTTGCTCACTTCCTTGGCAAATGGGCTCTCAGGTCTAAGTGTTGTGATCTTCAGTGGGATGTTTGGCCTCCTGGGTTGATCCAAGCCATTAAGGTTGATCTCTAGTTCTGGTC